AATTTTTTTTCTTATTATTTTATATTGTATTGGAATATATTTTCAAATGTATATTACTTTTTTACGTTTTAGTGCATTTATATATTGATTGAAATTTTTTACACATTATTTAATTAAATATTAATAAACAATCTTATTGTTGCGGTCATCAGCTACCGCCCTATATGACTTAATATCCTGGATCCGTCCTTGGAATCAACCCATCCGAATAAGATTATGGACGATGAAAATATTATTTTTTGAATTTCTGGTCAAATAAGTCGACGATATAAAGCTAGATAGAATCCATTTAGATGGAGGCAGCCTATTTTCTAAATGTTGGAAATAAAGAAGCTAGAAATCAACTTGAGGTGACTAGCGGTGAGAATGAAACTTTACTAGGTGGTGACTTGGTATCAGGTCACATTAGGGATTAGGGGTTAAATTGGATTTAAAAAAAAAAAAAAATTGAGGATGAAAGTGAACAATTAATAGTGTTCTAAAGAGTATAAAGCGTGAAAATTAAACTTTGGCCTAGGCGAGTTTTAGGCGTAAAAAAACATTTTTTATTTTAATATTATTTTAAAATTTTAAATCAATCTATATATTTTTAATAATTAAAGAAGAAAGCGTAAAAAAACGTGTCTAGCACGAAGAAAAAATAAAAAGCACAAAAAAAGCACGAGGCGAGGCATTTTGTGCCTGCTTCGCTCGTAGGCACCGCTTTTTAGAGCACTGACAATTATGACATTTTAAAAAAAATTAAGTACAAGATATTTTTATTTTAGAGCGTTCATGTTTAAAAATAAGATCTAGAAAATATTCTATTTTTAACCTTTTAAACTAGAGAATGACTTTATTATTACTTTATAATGAATACATTAATATATTACATATTTTAATATTCTACTTTTTAAATTATTTAAATCACATTTAAATTGATTGACTACTTATATATAAAAATATATTAAAAGATGATGAGAAATCAATACATGTTTATAGGAAAACAAAATGAAGATCCAAATCAAATTAGGGATGACCAAAAAAAACTCGATACTCGCGGGCCCCATCTCGAATGAGGCGGAAATTACCTGTCTAATTGGATAAACAAGACGAGGATGAGATGGGGATCGTTGCCCTAAAGTGGGTATATGATGGGTACGAAAAATATGGTCACCACCCCGCTACCGCTACCGCTACCGCTCCGTTTAAAGTTTGTTTTAAATTGAATTTTATATATATAAAAGAATTTTCATCATTTCTAAAGAGAATATGAGTTGTTCTTAAAAAAATGAAAAAAATGTAATATTTTTCACCAATTAAAGATATAATAAAAGCAAAAAATAAAAGAAAATAAATGGGACAGTAAAAGGGGCAGGGGACTTGCATTGCCTTGCCTCGATCCTGCCTTGTCCCGCCTTAACCGGGTATGATGATGAGACAATATGATAAAAATAACAATTGGACGGGGGACGGGAATGGCCGATCCACCCCATTGCCATCCCAAAATTTGATAGGATGTGTATTAAAAAAAATTACTATTTAAATTTAAAGATATTCTTTGCCTCTCTTTTGATGGCCATTATAAAAAGAATTTGAGGGAAAATGATTTTTCTAAAAGTGATTTTTTGGAAAATGTTTGATTAAAAAATTGATAAGTTTTGGTTTTATGTGTATACTATTTTATCATATGGATATGTGGTTAAAAATGAATATGAGAAATAAAGAATTTGAAATAAAGAAAGTCAAACATGGGCTTAATTATATTTAGCCCCTGTTTGATACTCATGATTTTGTGAAAATGAATTTTGTAATAATGGATTTTTGAAAAATGTGTGGTTAAAAAGTATGATTTTTTTAATTTACGCGTAAAATATTTTATTGGGAGAATATGTTGTTAAAAATAAGTTTGATAAAAAAATAAGGATGCGTTTGATTGTATGTATGAAATTTGCATGGAAAGAAAATAATTTTAGGCAATTGAATTGCCTAGAACTTATTTATATGTAAATTATTAATTAACTATGTTTGATTTAGTTTTCAACTTAAAAAAATATTATACTTATCCTTTTTTGTTGTTGGGTAGATGAGAGATAAAAAGAGAGTGAATTACTTGAAAAATAAAAACCAACCCTAAAGAAAATATTTTTCTTATTTATGAGGGAAATATGATCACATGACCAAAAGTTGAAAAATATTTCCATGAAAAAAATTGTTTGTCAAACAAAAGTAGAAATTTGGGTGAAAAAATGACATTTTTCATGAAAAGTAAAGCCAATCAAAAACACTTTTAAGTTTTGAAATATTGAAAAAATAGGGGCATAAAATACTCTTTATAAATAAAAATTTGTTAAAGACTCTTTTAATCATTGTGTTTGGTTGTAAAGTTAGCGGTGCAAATTCGCCTTGTCTTTTTGTTTGTCCCCCTAACTTCTTTAAGATTATAATTTCTGGTCCTAAACTTTTTCTTTTTTTTTTTTCTATCAAATCAAAAGGAAAAGTAATGTTGTGCTCTTTTCCCCAATTTAAGTGTAAAGTAATATAAATATAAATAAATTTTATACTATATGATATATACAAAATTAATTATGTCATGGTAATTTCATTAAAATATTAATTTTAGCAAGTTTGATTTAAAAAATAAGATATATAACCCCCTTTTGGTACCAATTAAAGTTTAGATTTTAATTCAAGTTAAAGTCCACAATTAATTTCATTCATACATTTCATCAACTTTCATCAAAATTTACTAAAAATTTGATTTTAGCCCATATTATTACATATTATAATGATATGAATAATTTAGAGAATGTGTGGTTCAATAAGAATGATTTTTGTGGGTTTATGTGTAATATTGATTATTTTATTAGAAAATGTGTGGTTGATAAGAAGAGGGAGAAAAATGAATTATAATTTAATGGAAATAATTAATTTAAGTTTATATAGCCAACGATTTGAAACTGAGGGTTTTTTTATTAACGAGTCATTTGCAGCTCCACTTTAACGAGTTGCATGTTGAGTTGAGACAAACTAGGATTTGGACAATCATAATCATCTCAACTTGATCCATTGACATGTCTACTGGTTATGAATTTTCGCCGTTAAAATTCAATTTTAACAATTTCCATCCTACGGAGAACTTTTGGTCTAATTTTGCAAAGATAATAGAGAGAATAAGGATATCACTCATTATATTTGGAGGTAGGTAAATGAACGGTAAAATCGGTGGGAGTCCTTGTACACAACAAGACCCAAAACCAATGCAAATGAGATGTAAATATCAAAAAACAATGAAACTCATCTCATTACTATTGACAAATGGCTCTGACACGTGGCCAACAGAAAATGTCTTCAAGTCAGCTCTTCCTGCACATGTGGCACGTCGTTAGTCACTCGTGGCCTTTCTCGGAGGGGTCGGGAGCGGCCGCAAGCACTCCGACGGTCAAGTCAGTTTGAAGCTCAACCGGAGAAGAGTTCACCGGCGGTGGAACACTCGCCGGGAAGTGGTTGACAAAGTGTGTATCGAAAAATAATAATATTCGAGGGAAGAGAATACTTAATTTCAAAATGTAGTGGTGGTTTGGAGAGTGTTGGATTCCAATCCTTCTTCAGGCATAAGGAGGGAGTATTTATACCAANTATGGCTTGAAAATCGCCCTGATTTTGCACTTGCATGAGGAGCTCTTGTATAGCTGCATTCTGGGCTGCAATGGTCCTCATGTTGGCTGCCATGTGAGCCAACTCGGCTGTTAAACGAGCGGCAGTTCTACTACCCCTGCGATAACGGTGGTGAGGTCGTTGCTGCATAACATTCGTTCGAATGATCTCTTCCTCAGAGACATCTCTTGCTCTTCTTGCATTCATCTCTTCGTTACTAAAACTCATGACCTGAGGTGGCAAATGTAATGAAACTTAATTTGTAGATTCTTTTTCAAGAACCAATCCCCTTTTCAAAGGGGAGCCTCAACCGGCTATTCAAGCAACTTTTTGTGGGAAAACTCGTGGTTAAAGTAGTTCCCACAGAGGGCTCCAATTGTTGAGCTCGAAAAATGGCTCTGACACGTAGCCAACAGGAAATGTCTTCAAGTCACTCTTCCTGCACACGTGGCACATCGTTAGTCACTTGTGGCTTTTCCCGGAGAGGTTGGGAGCGACCGCAAGCACTCCGACGGTCAAGTCAATTTAAAGTTCAATCGGAGAAGGGTTTACCGGCGGTGGAACAATCGCCGGGAAGTGGTTGACAAAAGCGTGTATCGAAAAGTGTTAACATTTAAGGGAAGAAGATACTTGATTTCACAATGTAGTAGTAGTTTTGATTGTGTTGGATTCCTCTATTTTTTCAGGCATAAGGAGGGAGTATTTATACCAAGGATGGGAATGGGAAAGTAGTTGGACGAGGAGACACGTGTTGCCAGATCTCCAGAGTTCGTCCCATCCTAGGTATCAATCCATCCATCCATGGGCTAGCTGGCATTGAATGTTTCTGACAAGAGTAGCTGATTTGACCATTTGAGTCCTGCCACGCGTCCCATCAGTCAGTGATTTGACTTTGGAAAGATCTCTGCATAAGAGATTTTTTAGGAGGCGAGGCGAGGCGAGGCAGGTGAGGCGTTGCAACGTTACAGAAGCGGAGTGCGAGCCTTTACATCCGCGATATGTTGGCGGATGAGTCCAGTTCGTTCGCTGGCGCTTATTCAGTTCGTCCTTCATGTAATCACCTCGGCGGCGCATGTTTCGATGGGGCAACCTCTACTGATATGTGGCGCCGAGGTGGAGGGTCTGACACCGACCTGTAACAATTACTATACAGAAACATCCCTCGTTTCGTCATCTCAAGAATAATTTTTGAATCCAGAACGATTAGAACCTTAACGTCAGTACCAGATTCCAATCATAAGTTAACACTTGCTTCAATCCACTCCATTTCGTCAAGGAGTAGTTTGTTGCAGGAATTGTAGTCGCACTCTGGACACCTTATCACCTCGTCATTTTGAAATTGTGCGATTGGTCTTCGATTAGCTCTCTTGGTCAGTCCGATTATGGTGTGACAAAGTAATGCGAAGTCTGGGCCTTAGCATTTGCCACGTGACAGATGAATTGAGTTCGTCCACTATGTGGCGGATGAACTGAAGCTTTGGACCCCGTCATCCAACACGTGGTGGATGATTTGGGGGCTTGTAATAATTTTTTTTTAACCAGATGAGAGATGGATAGGTTGAAGGAAATGAGTACACTTTCTGGAGTGTAGTGATTGTATATGCAAAATCAGGGGCATCGCAAAGGGAAAGATACAGGGTATGTGATCAAGAATGGGATCGAGGTGAACTCCTACTTAGTTACTGCTCTAGTGGGTATTGCATGTGAAGTGCATGGCTATTAGAGATGCCCGTTTGATTTTTGATGAGTTTTATGTTGTTGACCTTGTTTCGTGTTCTACCATGATCGTTGGGTATGGCCGAAGTGGCTATGCAAAAGAGGCATTGAAGTTGTTTACAGACAAAAAATGGCAAGATATTTTTCCCAATGCAGTTACCTTGGTGAGTGTACTTTCAGCTTGTGCACAGTCAGGCAATTCGAAGTTGGGTGCATCAGTTCATAGTCTTGGGATTAATATTGGATTAGATGATGCTAATGTGAGAAACACTCTAGGAGACATGTATGCCAATAATTATAGAATATGAGATGCAAATTATTTATTTGAGATTTTTTCAGATAAGGATGTGTTGCTTGGAACTCAATTACTAGTGGGTAGGCTCAAAGTGGATTTGCTAATGAGGCGCTAAAATTGTTCTATTGAATGAGATCAGTTACATTTAGCCCTTTCAGCCTGATCTTCCCTCGGGATATCAGCTTTTGTTATTCTCTTCATGCCTACTCTATCGAAGAAGGTTTTTGTCAACCAACAATATTGTTAGGGAATATTACAGCAATATTCAAAGCATAAACAAGTTTCAACAACCTTTTCTAACACTGACAGTTCAATGTTCAAACCCCAGCAGAATGTAATCACCAGTTACAACATAAAGAAATCTGTATTCAATGGCAATCAAACTTAACCCATAGCAT